AATAAATACAGCCCACCACCACCATGGTTAAAAAAAAATCCTAGGGGAAACCCTGTTAGATATCTACCGGTTCCATCTCTTGACCACCTTGACATTTGTGCAACCCATTTAACAGGTAACTGTGGAAAATGACCACACAAAATGTAACCCCTATAAAATGATGCACTTTTAGTGGTTATTTTTTAGATTTGCCATCTCTTTACAAACTGAGTAATTTCTAAACTGAACACTGGTCCGCAGGTGCACGCAATTAGGTCCAAACTGGACCATTCCTTCTGAATATTAAATTTTCCTTATGTCAGTGAATGTATATTAGGGCAGATTGAGTAGCAGCAACTTTATGCTGTGCATGTTTTATCCAGAGAATATGCTGCAATCAGCCTCTGAGTATTGACAGGGTTACAGGGTCATTAGGTGCTAAATGGCTGATAAAAGGGAAGATCCATGGAGACGATGAGCAAACAGAGAACACAACTCTCTTAGGCTCCAGCTGTCCCRTGCAGAAAAAATTGAAAAATGTTTTTTTCAACTTGCCGTATTGATTCAGATCAGCAAATCAGAAACAGTAGCAATAAAGCTCAAAAGGAATTTGATTTTATTCAGCTGAAATGATACRAACTCTAGTTGGAAAGGATAATACCTTGACTTTCATGTCTATTACAATATTAGTTCAGTAGCAGGTGGTGTGTTGGTCTTACAGGTAGTTTTAATTCAACATAAATATCACACAATTATTTATGTTGTGATTCATTACTTAAAATCATTCAAGGAATTCTACCAGATCAGATAAAGACAGCCGGCGCAGAAACCAAAAATGGACGTGTCATGTAACATTATGACTTTATTCTTGTAATGTTTTCACTTTATTCTCGTAATTAAAAAAAATTGTGTGGCCTGAATACTCTGTCATAATTTGTATTTGTGAGAAAAATGTAAAAAAATAAATAAATAAATGAAAACTGAGTTGTAACTGCTTTTTTGCTAACATGACAAACAGGCCCACAAACACAGACCCTTTAGCATTCGGCAGCAGGCGACAATAGACAGGAGAAATAAACTAATACCTGTTTTGCAATAGAGGGTTACCATGTTTTCTACAGAGTTGCAAGGAAAAGCTATCTGATATGCCAGCACACAAAGATCCCCTGTGATTTTTTTAAATTTATTTTTTTTTTTTACTGAAACACTGGTGCTGCTACAAGGAAGCAGAATCTAATTAGCAAATAATTAGCAGCTCTGACACTGAACTTGTTATTTTGGYCATTAAAGCTCTGAAATTCAAAGCTGAAAAAGATAATCACCTATGAGCTGCTTAAATTTGCAAGCTAATGCAGTCATACATATAAAATTAAATAATACTGAGAAGGAAACATTAAATTCAGAAATGGTGTTAATAATAAAACATTTCATCACGTAGCTGAAACAAGGAAATGTAGAAAAAGTTTAAATATAAAGGAAAGAGTAAGATTTATTCATTCAGCAACTCTGAAACTTTTATGGGGAAACTGCACCAACTATATAAAATACATCTAAGAAAATACCATTTACTGTTTTCAGCTCTGATCAGAAGCACCAAGCCTCGGGCTGTAAAGGTTAAAAAAAAAAAAACAGGACAAAGAATGTGTTTTATTTCTTGGAGTCAGAACACAGTGACTGTCGTCTTCAGCCGGTCTAATAAATCCTTCAGCAGCTTTTTCATAATCTCATCCTGCTGTCTCTGCTTGCTATTTCAGGGATGTTATTGATCAACATCGAAAATAACATTTAGAGCTGTGGGGGATTAATGGTTTTGTTTGTGTGCTGGCTTGTTCTGAAAGAAACAAGGTTACTCAATTACTCACTGGAGCTGAGTGGAGCTTTGCAGCTCCTCTGACTTCGACAATGGCCTCAGTTTCTACATTCTGTGCAGCAAAAGCTAAAACATCCACAGATGTGCTGAAAAGGCTTATCATCAAATCTGATCTAGAAGACCATGTAATATACAACCCCAACTCAGACCAAGTTGGAACCTTGTGTAAAATGTTCATTAAAACAGAATGCAAAGGTTTGTAGATTTCACAAGCCGAATAATTTATTCACAATAGAAGACAGTAAACATAAAAAAATGCATAAAGTAAGAAACTGTAACACTTTGCGAGTAAATAAAAGTTACGGTAGCTTTTAATGGGATAACAGTGGCAGATTAGTTCAGCACTTGGATGTTTTTACGATGAAGCCATGATGTAATGGATCCAATTTGTTGTTTAAAATTATCTTGCTGAAATATGCAGGGCCAAAAAGATCATGTCTGGATGGGAGCATATGTTGTTCTAAAACCTTTTTGCATTGATCGTGCWTTTCCAGATGTGTAGGGTGCCCATCCAGGGGCACTAATGCACCCCCACACTATCAGAGAGGCAGACCTTTGAACTGTACACTGAAAATAGTCTGGATGATCTCATTACTTTGTAGTATGAAGAACACAGGGTTCATGGTTTCCAAAAATTTCATCTGACCACAGATCAGTTTTTCACTTTGCCTTGGTTCATTTTAAATGAACTTTGGCTCAGAGAAGATGGCAGCATGTCTGCAAGGTGTTCACATATAGCTTCCTCTTTGCATTATAGATGTTCATACCAGAATCAGACCAGTTCTTAAGGCAGCGCTGATCAACCATTCGCTTCAAATTTTAACTTTAAAGCTGCAGTAGGTAACTTTAATAAAAATGTACACACTTGTGTATGCACCGCTTACGCCCTACCCCCCGCACAGCGCGTACCCTCGCTCAAGCTCAATAAGACCACCAGTGTGCTGCAGTTGTTCTGATGGTGGAGAAACAACTTAACGTTACAGGAAAACTACCAATTTCTGAGAGTTCTGAACGTGCCATGGCAATTTACGTGCCGTCATCGGTGGCTCCCGCCGTGGGGGAGGACCTGTAGAGGGAGGGGTGAAGCGCAGCAGAGAGCAAGGGGGAGGGGCCTGTAAGGTGTGCTTTTTTTAATTTTTAGAGTAAGTCTACGGTTTTGTCACAACTCCCTACTGCAGCTCTAACATGTCAAGTTGTAAAGATTGCCTGTAAATTACAAACAATTTAGTTTTGGCAAATAAACATTTCCACAAATTCTGTATCTCCTCACCTGGGTTTGCATCATGGCTCTCTCCACGCACCGAGATCTTCCCTTTTCCAGTTTGGTCCTGAGGCAAAGCGCTGTGACCTCCACGGCCCAGAACTTTGGCTGAGACAGAATACACTGAAGAAAAGAAGCACAAAAAAGGCATTATTTTAATCAGACCTTGTAGGAAGAATGGGCTTTCTGGTGGAATTTAGTGAGTCAGAGAAGGTCAATGAATTATTTATGACTTTTTAAAAAAGGTCTGATATTTCTTCCAAACCTACAATATTATCAAAGTCATTATCAAAGAAAGCAATTACATTTAATCAGAACTAAAAGGATGAAACAGRATCTGTTTTCCGCTTGTCAAATTGACCACAATAAAAACTAACATGCAAGAAGTGGAAGAACAAACATCTAAAAAAATAAAAACAGGAATAAATTTACTCTAAAAACAGTAATACGCAACTGGAACTCATCTCAAATACATTCAGAATTTAGTTTCTGAAAAAGAAAGTGAGAAATGTGTGGCAGATTTAGAGATTTGATAAAAATCACTTTGTAGAGCAGACTGAGCTCCAAGGAGGAACTTCGCACAAATAGGCGGAGCTTTGTACCAACAAGCATTTAGGCAGCTCTGCATGGCAGGAGATTCAAGGATTTCTCAAACATGCACGAATGAGTCAAAGCAACACTCTGGGTTTGATTTTGATGAGAGGATTACATTATAATAGGATATAAAGCTAAAAGAAAGTCTGTTTTGCATAATATGCCCTCTTTAGGATGGTACAATCAGATGAACTCCATGTGTTGTACAGTATGACCTTTGAGTCACTCCGAGATATACAAACCATAATGTTTCTAAGAATCTCAACAACTTTAGATGATTACTTCAGGATTAATGCAATAAAACTCATCAGGGTTTTGTTTGTTTATAACATTTGCTGGTCAGTAGTTCAGAATATTWCAGCACAGCTCATTTGTTTATGATCTTAGCCCCAACATTTGCTTTAAAGCACTCCACTGCTCAATTTCCTCTCCCAAAACGACTCTCCTTTTGTTGACTGCCGTCACAGCTTTTAGTCATGTTTCTTTTCAGATTAGAGAAAAATTGTACCTTTTTATTTCTGACCTGGAACCTCTGATTCTGTTGTTCTTYCTCTGACTCTGGTTACATCYGGGGAATATTTTACCAACTCAATATCCATTGTGTGCCAAGACTGTCTGAAGTGTACTCATCAATGTTCGAATGTAAACAAACAAATAGTAATTATTGGCAACAAAACACGATTCTGCCGATTTCACTCATTACAAAACATGCAGGAGACCCGGTTAGCGAAAGATGCTCAAAAACATTGTATAACTGTTATTATTGCTTTGAATAAGAATCCTTCAAAAGCAAATGTGATATTCGTATACTATAAAAAAAAAATATCAGATGCAAAAAGACACAGTGGTTGTACTGTTAATGGTTTAATCAAAACAGAAGACACAGGACTTAATTTTCTTTTCCTTCTCTGTTCTTGCACTGAAGAAACACTGATGTCTGTTGTGCGCTGTAGTGAGAAATCAACAAGCAAGCTTCACTGAGAACAMCTAATTATTAGAAGCTATTACAGCCTCAGAGTCTTTATCTGTGTGCTGTGGTGATAATCTGGTGTATAATAGCTYGGTGGTTCGGCTTCAGATGAGCTGATTAAAGGATTTAAGGAAACAGGATGTGGGGTTAGAAACATCCTGCAGACTTAACCACATGAGGACATTACTGACGCTGTTAATCCGACACCAGGTTCTGCCCCGTTTTTAATCAGAACATGTTCCACAACGACGGGTTTCTTCACACAGTGTGTATTGATGATAATGGGAATGCACCATGAAAGTGATCCATGGTCGGTGGTGAGACGAACAAGCCCTGATGTTGTTTGTGGATGCTTAGCGGGTCCTGCCGGAGTCATTAGCATTAACAGTAAATTGTCCTAATTATGCAGTTATTCCTGTAGCAACATAAATCACTGAGCGATTACAATCAAACAATAAGACACGATAAACATTTGTCACACAAACGAGYACACAGAGGTTCTCCAGTACACTCAGAAGTCTTTAACGGTGCCTGAAACTTAAATCTCACTTAGCATTTTAATCACTATTTACTGCAGCATCTGACAGAGCTCAGTGAACTGTGAAACATTAAAACATTTACAGATCATGAATGAAGCTTCACTCATTCAGTTTATTCAATAAAAAGTAATGCATAATATCAGTTACTGTATATTAGCTGCGCTAAATCAATTCTGTATTTTAAATAAATTTAAACACATCATCAAATCTTTTAAATGCATACATGTCAGGTTGTACGGATTGTCCATAAATTACACAGATCCACACCTCATTCTTGCAGGTAAACCTACAGAGAAAATCTTATGGATTTTTTTTCAAAAACTTTGCTTCAAATTTATTTAAGTCTCACAGTCAGCARGCTGTAAGGAAATGCATTCGCCACCTCCATGTTCTCCCTCCCTGCTCTTCTGCTGCTGCAGTCGTTATGTCTGTCCAAAAGTCCCCACCCACACCRATGGATTGTGTGTTGGGCTGAGCATAAAATTTTTATATCGATATTATTATCATGTATATAAAAATATATTATATCGATTTTCTTTCTTTTAAAATTGACCTCCACTTAATTGCCATGCACTAGGCTAGATGATGCCCWGTCCTAATTGTGTGCGAGTACTACAGGTTTTTTGTGAAAATCAAAGATTTCGGAAGGTCACGATACAGATAAACRTCCGAAGAGGTTGACGTGTAAATTTAGGGGAAAAAAAGCTTTTTAATAATGTCATGTGTTTGTACATTAAAGCTCAAAATCCTGTCATTATAAGAAGTGTAAATATAAAGTGTAGTAAAGACTAGAGAAAACGTATCACCTTCATTTTCCCCACTCATCTACTACAAAATGTTCCCTGCAGGCTGAGGTGGACCAAAAATTCTGATGAGCATAATTTCTGGRATAATTAGTCTATGTTAATTATTCTGATCTGCTGTTGTTGCCGAACACACAGCTGTCTTTACAACAGGTATAATCAATCAATCTGGTCTGTTTTTGTTCACAAGTTGATTGAATTGGTCCGTAAGAACCACTGTTGTCAACATGTTTCTGTAACTGATGGTATCAGTGAATAWCCACTGATGTAACATTTGTGTGTAAAGTCAGGGTTAGGGTCAGAAAGTCATTCAAATGCCATKAGTTTTAGCAACACACCTGCCAAGACATACTGACTGTCAAGTATCAGTAAGAAATAATCCACAGACTCCATTTTTAATAATGCGACACTTCGATTTWTCTCTAAAGTAATAGAGCTTAAAATCTTGCCATCCTCAGGGATGTTCTCTCAAAAAAAAAAACCACATAAATAAATAAAATAAATAAATAAACAAACAAATAAATAAATAAATAAATAAATAAACAAACACATAAATAAATAAATAAATAAATAAATAAATAAAAACAATCCACTTGAATCTTGAAGTGTTTTAGCAGCTTCTACACACTAGTGAAAGAAACAGATAATCTCCCAATGGATCTAAACCTGCATTTAAGGTCTCTGCATTTTTATATCAAGTKGTATTTTTGGACCAGCCCAATAAGTTGCAAATGCAAAAAGAAACAATGATATCATGAATAATGTCAGGCCAAAACAAGACTAGGTAAGCTTTTTTTTTTTTTTCAAATCCATGACAGACCATGAACTATACAACACAATCCCAACACAATGTGAGTGGAATGAGAAATTGTAAACCCCAGACTCTTTAGGTTGTCACGAAACCTATCCTGGATGACTTAAGTAACAGGTTAGGCTTTAGATGACCTTTGGGAGTGGAAGAGGGATGGCATTTCAGTGTGTTAGATCAGTGGTTCCCAACCTATTTTCCCCAAAGCTCCCCTTTCTGACTTGCTGAACAAGCTGAACCCCCAATCCCCTGCTACTGTCCATCTCTACCAAAGACACGTTCAACCTTTATCTCTTTATCAAGATAATAAAAGTTTAAAGTGAATAGTTACAAACTATCACAAACAGAAGAGTAAATGCAGAGATGGCTAAAAAGGATGAGTGGTTCAAGTTAATTGCAATCTTTGCTTCAACTAGAATCTAATGAAAACTGCAGGAAAGATAGTTAACCAATGTGTATTATTAGCTACTTACACAGTGCCAGCAAAGTACCAACAAAAGGTACAAAACAATGAAGAAATTTGAAACCTGCTGTGTATATACAGTATTTGTTGTGGGGCAGAAGAATTAAGACTGCAGTGTGTTTGTTGTAGCTCTCAGGAACAAATGCAGAATCATTTTTTTTACTTGTATAGAATATATAAACAAACTAACTACTGTCTTCTCAATGTTTATCTCATTAGTGGCACTTGGGGAGAGTAGTATTTTTTGAAGTGGGACTCAAACTGTGCAACTGTAAGACCAACGAAGTTGAAATTCATATTATGAATGGTACAACTTCAGTGTTTCAAGAAGCTTGATGGTTTTGTGTGCGTCTGTCTGTGGATTGCTAAAAATCAATGTTTCCTTCAGAATGGGCGTACAGCTTCACGTAAATTCTGATTTATGACAAATCTGGGCTGTACAGCGGGATCAGACAGACCAATCTGTGAGGAGTCATTGCTGCAGAGCTGAGGGGGATATTTGTAAAATGATACTGAAGTGAGACCTGAACACATTTTGGATCCTTAATTTTTTTTTGTTTTGAGTCTCATCAGTTGCCTGAACTTTCTGCCCTCCTCCCTATTTATGGACTTAAATACAATCTATGCTGCTTCTGTACAACCTCAAAACAGACAGTTTGAGTTAGAAAATGCAGAAAATCTTGTAACGTTTGCTGCTATGGAATGCATTTTCTGTACAGAAAATGCTAATGATTATCAAATGGAATGAATTTAATGAGCCAAAACAAAAAAATATCTTGGTTTCTAATGTCAGATTATAGTTTGGGTTTTCTCTGCAGACAGATTACCAGTATTTCTTTGCATTCAGGAATGCGCTTTGTAAAAATAACTCAGGTTATTACTGTCACATCCAGCCCAACTGCAGATGGTCTTCCACAAAATTGGAAGCAAGATAAGTGTATTGATGATAAAGGCCAGACATGTGACAACCATCTAACCAGCCTGCAGATTCCTGGATCTACATGTAGGCTGGGAAGATGCCTGCTCACAGAGCCAGCAGCTACAAMAGCAGCTTCTCCTTCCAGCAACAAGTAAAAACTGATTTCAAATTAAGCTTTATCGTCATCATACCCCCAGTGTGGATCTATTTTATATGCCCATCTAAGGACTGTATCACTCAGCAAGAGCTAAAAATTGTCGGCCGATTTTCAAAGACTGAGAGAGCCCACATGTGAGAATAAAAAATCATGGATATACCAGGTTTGGTCCTATAGTGTGTGGTGTACAGCCACACAGCAAGAGACAACACACCACACACAGAAAGATATTTCATTCATGAACATTCAGGTATCAGTCTGAAATCAGGCAAGAGTTCTTGAAATCTCATGAGAATTCAGATGACAGATGAAAAATCTTATGTTACCTCCAGAGAGACATGATTTCAGATTTTTAAAAAATTGAGATGAGGAAGAAACAATGTTGATCATTTCTGGACTATTTTTACCAAAGAWAAAATAATTCAAGAAGACTTCGACGTCCAGCGGACTTTCTGGTGAGTCATGAATTTGTGTTTTTATGTCCTCTGTATTTTGGATTCCCCTCCGTGTTTACATWATCTCKCTTTYTGATTGGCTACATGTCTCATTCAACAGGTTGCAAGCTCGTTTGTTCTTCACCACACACGCTGTGATATCGGGCCAAAAACATCAAACATTGAATATCTCCGATTTGAGGTCATAGCGGTCCCAACATCCTTCTGAGTTGACTAGATCACTCTTAACTCCCCATACACAGCAGGAATATCTGCTAAGATTATCTTTAGAGCTATCACAATAATCTGGACATCATTACGATTGTCAGAAGGGCAAAATCAAGCCAGAATTTGGCATAATTATTGTGCTGTGTGACGCAGGCCTAAGACAATCATAAACGATTGTGACTGGTCATTGGGCAGACTTGTGAATTAAACTGAAGCAAAATTGTATCATGACAGACTTTGTGATAAAGAAACATTGTATTGTCATCGAAACAAATAGACATAATGCATTGTGATAAATCTGGTGATTTATATCTCTAAAATACAGCATATTTTATTTTATTTGTTGTGAACAAATGAACATACAAATTAAGGTAATGTGGGATTAAGCMGTTAAAGGTGAAATTCGTTAGTCATTACCATACACTACCTTCAACCTATTTAATTACAGAAGGTGTGTTTAGCAAAGAGTATGGGAGAAACTTGGGGGTTGATGAATAAACTACTGCCTCAGTGAATACAAATAAAATTCCACAGAGCCACAACAACAGAGAATACCTTTCCACCAGAATAACACTTCTATTTCTCAGCGCTTTGGTCAGGAACGATCAATGTTAGATTCTTTTAGTTCCCTTAACCTTGAGACTACGTTGGTGAAATCAACTGAAACACATTTTTGAATCAAGCCGTCCACCCATGGCTGAACCGTAATAGGTAGAAACGGCCTTCCCTGTGACTTATAGCGTTTTATATTAATAGAAAAAAAAATTAGTGGCAATGACTTTAAAACGATAAAGGCACAAAAACATACTGGTGTTCCAAGTGTCTCCACACACTGTTAACACAAAGGAACTTCTAGTGTATCTGGGGGCTTCATAGCTGKTTAAAAGGGCTCAACAGTGGAGAATCAATATCTAATCAGAGAAAGGCAAGCTCAATATGCTGAAGAAATGGGAAGCAGTTCAGTGCTCCGCTGCCTGACAACAAACGCAACACAGGATTCAACAGTATGAAGAAAACTGGTTTAGACACCCCTCATGAATAGCAATTTAACCTGGATAAGAGCCAACCGGGCTAACTTGACTGTTCTGTCCTACAGCTTTGTACAGCAGGAAAAAGAGATGGTGTGAACTGTTTTAGGATTAAAGCTTACAAAGACATAATCACTTTTTCTGTTTTAAACCTTAGATTTAGAGGGTCTAACTTTTAAAAAATGCGACTATCAAACATGTAGGCTCGCTAAATGTCACGCATGCCTTTGTCATTTTATGAATGTCTGTTTAACTAAAATGTCCTATTTTTTAAGATATGATTGTCTAGGAAGTCTTTAAAAGGAAAAGGTCCTGGAAATACTGAAGAAGGAGGAAGACTGGAGACTACTGGGGTTGGCTCATCGACTGCTGTTTCTCTGTTTGCTGGTCTTGAACTCCAAACTTATTCACTCCTTTTTGTATTAGCTGGGTTTGAGAGTCACTGACAGTCCTGTTTTTGGTTTTGGTCTTAGGTCCAAATTTGACAGTCAATCAAATGGCAGGTTTGAAGTTTTCTCTTTCTTTCATTTGCCTTAGCTCCCAATTCTTTTTGGTTTTGTTTCAGATCATTGGTTTTCTTGAATCGTCTGGACTCCGTATGATGTGTCCTTTGAGCCATTCTTTGACAGACCATAACACTGAGTATTTTATGTATATAACTAAGGGGGGCACTAAAAAAGCAATGAAACTTTTTATTACACAGTTATTCTTGTTTCTTTCACAGTACTACTAATTTAGGAAATATTTTTGTCAATTTTATTTATTTTTTGTTCGAAATTTTAGTCATATGGTGTATTTCTGACATTGATTTGGTGATAAAAAAATACACCTTTCAATTTTAAAATTGAATTTGTAAATAAAATCTGAACCTGAGGTCTCGTTTTAAAAGCTAATAGGAACTCACAGATTTTTTTAATTTTTACTAGATAAATAGTTGTGCAGAGTTATTACCAACATTTGTACAAAAGGCAAGAAAAGTTCAAATGTATCAAAGACAAGAACTTACAGATGTGAAGGCCAATAATTCCTCTTCTGTTAGTTTGTGAACTGGGTTGTTCTTCTGAAAGTCAGTGCTGTAAAACAAAAACCTCAATCAGTACACACTTAATACAAAGTAAGCACAACCAAAGCAAGTCAAAATGTATTTTTGTAGGACAATTACAAAACAACCTTTGTTGACCAAGATGCTAAACAAAGTTTAAGGTACGGAATCTCATCTATTATTAATGCAATAATGATCAACTCAAATACAATTAAATATCACACACACACACACACACACACACACACACACACACA